GGGAGGAGGGGACGGGTATATGCATACACAAAGAGTGCGATGCGCACCATTCCAGGGGATGGACATGCTGGAAGCTCGGACTTGTGGGGCGGAGGGGGGGCAACATACGTAACCTAAACATCTATACCCCCATAATATGCTGAAATAAAAAAAAAAGTTGCCATGGCTTTTTGGCCAGGCTGAGATGAGAAGTAGAGTGCAGGGACACAAGGGAGGCTGTACATGGGTCCTGCCCTGGGTGCCCTGGACACCTGGTTCCCAATGTCCCTGCTGGAGAGAGAGGACCTTTGGTCTAGTGCTGCTGGGCAGCATCGGCAGGAGCCTGTTGCCTCCAGGCACAAGACGATTAGCTGCTAGGAGCCACCTGAGGGACAGAGAAGGGAAGGATCCTAAAGAAGAAATGGTTGGACCACTCAGACATCATTTACCAGACACACTTAAAAACAGACCAGGATGCAAATGAGATGCAAACACTTCAGACTCTGTCTCACAAAGCAAAAAATAAAGCAACTCAACAACAACAAGAAACAACCCAATTCAAAAATGGACGAAGAACTTGATAGACATTTCTCCACAGAAGATATATAAATGTCCAGTACATCACTGAATGCAAAGATTTTCAATATCGTTAGTCTTTAGGGAAAGGCAAATCAAATTTCAATAAGATACCACTTCACATTCATTAGAAGGGAATGTAAAATGGTGAAGCCTGTGGTAAAAAACAGTATGGTGGGTCCTCAGAAAGTTAGACACAAAATTGACATATGGTCCAGCAATTCCTTTTCCAGGTATACATCCAAAATAATTGAAAACAGGGACTTGTGCACCCATGTTCATAGCAGCACTATTCGCAATAGCCAAAAGATGAAAAAAAAAATCAAATTTTCATCAACGAATAAATGGATAAACAAAATGTGGCATATAAAGTCAATAAAATATCATCTGGCCTTAAAAGGGAATGAAATTCTGATACCTGCTACGATATGGATGAACTTAGAGAACATTATAGTAAGTGAAATAAGCCAGACATAATGGGACTAAAATTGCAGGATTCCACTTATGTAAGGTGGAGCCATATAGAGTAGCCATATTCATAACCAGGAGGTAGAATATTGTTATCAGGCTCGGGGAGGGCAGAGGAAGGGAGCTATTGTCTAATGAGTGTACATGCTTCAGTTTAGGATGATGAAAAAGTTCCACAGATGAATAATGGTGATGGTTGCACAACAATGTGAATCCACTGAACACCACTGAATTGTACATCTAAAAATGGTTAAAATGGCAAATTTTATGTGACACGTATTTTGCCACAATAAAAATAAAAATTAAAAAAGGCAAGGGTAAGAAACCTTTTTTATTGCAGTTTTTGTAGTTGGGGTTTGGTTGCTAGGTGGGAAGAGAGTCCTGCAGGAGATTAGGAAAAAAGGAAGGGCCGCAACCTCTATGCCATGCCTGGTTCTTCCCACATTATGGCCTGTGGAACCAGGCAGGCCTCACAGCAGACTGCTTTCCAATACTACCTCCTTTTCCCAAGACGTGGGACTTCCAAGAACCCAGAAAATATGTGGGACAATACATGCCTAGCGCCCATCTCCAGAAATGCTGATGCGAAGGGCAAGACATGGCCCTTTAGCAAGTATTCTGTTTACACCCTCCCACGCTTAACAGGAATGAAAGTCAGATACTTGCACAGGCAGATGTCTCCCTGTCTGTCCCCGCCCCGGGGCCCACCTGGAGTCAGGCCAAGAGTGACGGGGATGCCAATCACAGACGGTAGACCTCCTCTCCGTCCCCCTCACCGAGGTCCAGGCCGAGATTCAAGTGTCCCAGGGTGTTTCGACGAAGGATCTCCCAGCCGCGGTGACTGCTGCTGCGGGACGTGGTCCGGGACAGGGAGGGTGTCGGCAGGGCCAGGGAGGCTCTGGCCAGGGTCCCACTCTCAGCTACGGAGGGCTGTTTCTCGGAAAACTGCTCCTGCCCATCCTCCTTGTCCGGGCACTTGAAGGCCTCCACGTAGCGCAGCACGCGCAGGGCGCTCTGGGAGTGGTGGCTCTCCACCCTGGCGGGCAGAGCCAAGGACTCAGTCGCGGCGGGGGACGCGGGCCGCGGGGAGAAGCGCAGGCGACCACTTGGACAACAGAATGGATCACCGGGAAAGTGGAAAGAAGGGCCCAGAGCTGAAGCAGGAAGACATCTAGGACCAAGTGAAGGGAAGGGGTTTGGAGTGGAGACGAGCCTGGGATGGAGATGAAAAAGGTCTGGAGGGTCTCAGGACTGTGTGTGTGTGCGTGTGTGTGTGCGCGCGCGTGTGTGTATATGTGTGTGCGTGCGCGTGTATGTGTGTGTGTGCGTGTGTGTGTGTGTGTGTGCGCGCGCGCGCTAGTATGTGGGAATGTGAAAAAGAAAATAGAACCAGTTAAGAGTCACAAGGATAAGGAGATGCACTTCCTGAAGTAGATGTGAGGGGAGAGGAGAGCCCCGTCAGGAGATGGGGGTGGAGTATGAAGAGGAAGTTAGAGCCAAGGTACAGCCTGCGGGAACGGGAGTCAGGTCAGGCAGGAACAAGACGCAAGCAAGCTGGGTGACCCGTGCTCACTTCTGCGCCTGGACGCACGTGCATGACCTTCCACACTTCCCTGCCCTGAGGTGCACACAGCCCTCTTGTTACGCCTCCACCTCAGCTCCAGCAGGCTCAGATGTCTCTGGTCACCCTGGCTCCCATGGCCTCATACACATCTGTGGTTTCAATCTCTCTTTCTCTCTCTCTCTCTCTCTCACACACACACACACACACACACACACACACACACAAATGCACACACACGCACACTGCCACTCACCGCAGGAACCAGCGGTCCCCCAGCCCGTAGTGGAACCCACAGATCCCAGAGCGCGGCCACAGGAAGCGCGGCATCTTCCTCTCCAGCATCACCGTGGTGGCCACGACCTGGAAGGAGGCAGAGGTGGAGGAAAAACTCAGAGCCACAGTTCAGAGAAACAAGGCCACCCGCCACTGACAAAGGGAACCTGTGAGATGAGGACGCTAGAGGTCGCTGGTGAGGACAGCCATGTATCCATCCCTGGCCTGAAGGAGGCACCTGCTACCTGCTTCACTCATCAAGAAAAGAGAGAGAGTTTTTTTAGGAGTGTTTTGAAGAAAATAGTGATCCTTACATTACTGTTCAGATTCATGGAAAGTGAGTCGCTCCAAACTAATCTCAATTGCTTATTCATAGAAAAGCCATAAACCAATTATCTTGATTTAAATAAAACAATTAAATAGAATTTCTGTGATCTTGGTGGTGATATGCTACTACTGTTCAGGGCATTTTCAGAAAATTAAATATCCATATCTTAAGAAGGAGAAGGGTTCATTAATAACTGCAGACCTGGCAGAGAAATTTCTAGTAGCATGACCGTCACATGTTCTGTCCTTTGCTCAGCCCTCATTAAATGCTTAGATGAAATACAGAAAACAAGCTTATCAAATATGCTGTGACACAAAACTGGGAGGGATATGTAATATGTGAAGTGGTGGAAGCAATCTGAAATGATTTCACCAGGGTGGAATGCTGGTCTAAAACCAAGAACATGAAATTTGAGAAAACCAAGTCTAAGGTCACTCATTTAGGTATAAAAAGCTTAAGTAAGTGAGTCATGTAACAAAGATGCAGAGGTTCTAGTTGATCATAAGCTTAATGAGGGCCGGCTGTCTATTTGCTAAAAGACCTGACTTAATTGTAGGTGCTTTTAACAGTATCGTGTCCAAAGCAAGGAGAGGCATGGCCTCTCTGTCTACTGCATTCCTCCATTCAGAGTGAGACCACTCTAGTTTCGAAGGGACTGTGACCTATAAGAGCATTAACAAAAAAGTACAACTAGAATATGTTGGGACCAGGAAAATTTATTAATTGAAGGAGCTGGCACTCCTTAAAATAGCAAATTCTCCACCCCATGTTTTCCCACTCCCTGTCTTTCTCATTCCTCCACACTTCTCTCCATCTCTTAGTTGCACCAAGCTCCTTCCTGTCTCAGGATTTCCAGTCATTTTGTTCTCTTGCCCTGAATAGGTCTTCTTCTTTCCTTTGACAAGGATGTTTATTGTTCTTCTTGGGCCACCCACCAGCCCCCTCCTTCCTCTGGTGACAGAACCCGTCTTTCCTTTGGGGAACTGCTCCTTCCTCACTCTCAGCCCAGGGGTCAGAGTAGACCGGGCTTCCCACAGTCCCAGTGAATTAGTCTATTCTCCCCAAGCCTCATCTCCCCTCACCTACACCACCACTCTCCAGCCCTTGGCCTTTCCTGAAGTTCAAGATGTGACACAAACTTGTTCCAATGAGTTGGCCCTTAGAATGAATTTGCTGGGGAAAGATTTCTTTTTTTATTCTTTTAAGCCTGCATCATTGACAGCATCAGAAGCCTCACAGGAGATAACATGAACGGGGCCTTGGAACTGTGCAATGCGGTGCCCATGCTCATTCCTGTTGGGGTTTGGAGCTTCTAGAAGCTACCTCCCAAACATGATGAGAGAGCTTGCCTTAAAAGAGAGCAGAAGAGAGAAACACCGATGTGACGAGTGAGATGGGGATCTGCGTGCTGGCCAGATATCCCTAAAGTTAGTTTAATTCTCTAAACTTTCCACTTACGAGGACTAACACATCCTCCTCCCCCTACTTAAAAAGCAAAAAAAAAAATCTGTTTCAGTTTAGTTGTCTTTGCTGTAGTCAAGGGTCCTAATTGGTACAAACTTCGACCTCCCTCATTTCTCCTCATTCCTCTTAACCAGCTAGTTCTGACTCATCTTTAGGGTCTCATTTCAAACGTTACTCCCTCGGGAAAGCATTTTCTAACTTGCCAGTCAGAATCCTCTGTTGCAGCCTCTTCTTAACACCTTATACTTCTCTATGGCACTTTTGCGGCTGTAATTTTACAGCTTTCTGTGAAGTCATTTGCTTAATGTCTGTCTTTCCAACTGAACCATTGGTACCACGAGGGCACAGATTGTATCTGTTATGTTTATGCTTCTATCCTGAGCTTTTAGATATTTCCCAATACATAGCAGGCTCTAAATGATAATTGTTGAATGAATAAGACATCTGAGAGGATAAATGATTGTTATATTCAAATATTTGCATGGTGCTCATATGGAAGAATGTGTTCCATGTTATTTGAGAGGAAAAAACTGGGACCAAAGACTGGAATTATAGGAAGATAGGCTTCAACTCAATGCAACATGGATGTTTCTAATAACAAAATCTTCAAAAATATGGAAAAACTCCCTCCTCCTAACCCCTACCTGATTCTACAAGATAATAAGCTAATCAGCATTAAAGAAGATATTGAATGACCCTCTAACCAGTAAATGATTATTATATTGAATGGGAGGTCACTTTGAGGAGCATTAAGGTCACTTTCAATGCTAATATTGTATTAGTCTAGGATGATAGAAAGAAAACATCATAGAGAAACAGGATGTATAGAAGCAAGTAAAAGATAAGGGGCAGGTGAAAAACTAGAATATACAAGAATAAGACAATTTTTAGCTCCCACTGGACTCAAGGATGACTCCTGGATCTACTCTTCACCTGTGATCAATAGCCCCACCTCTCACCTCCATCCTCCATTTCATCCTCCGTCTGTCCCCTACATCCACCCACACGTACTTCAGATTCTCACACTTACATAAATCTCTGCTGAGGTGACAGCTCCCCGGGCTGTTCTGTGACTCTCCTAAGCGTGGTCCACCATAACAATTCCTGCTTTGATATTTCTCTCCATCCCCTGCCGCTTAGCAAGACTAACACTAGTGAACTCACCTGGGCTCTCCAGAGCTCGTCCCGCTCCTGGGCCACCCTCCAGTGTGTGTCACCCATCATGGCGATGAACAGGTTGAGCATGAGCAGCGCGGCGATGATGGCAAAAGCAAAGTTGACGATGCCAAACATGAAGGGCAAGTTCACTTCGTAGTTGGCGGGTGCGTCAATGATGGTGAGGAAAAGCTCGAAGGTGCTGAACAATGCCATGGGATAGTCATAGAATTCCCCCAGATTGGTTGGGTCCTCTGTCTGGAAAATGATATAGAACGCTGCTCCGCCCAGGAAGAGGGCATGGAGGTGGGAAATGGAGTTATCACAATAAGCATGGGCCTGGCTAGCATCCATTCTCCCTCTGAAATACACAGCTCCACAAACTCACATGCATATGCAATCACACACCCATACATGTAGTTATCTGTGGAACTGGCTACCCCTAAGATGTCCTATGACTCAGTTCATCATTCTGGGGAATGATAATGGTAATACTCAGCCATTTAGCAAAAAAAAATTGTGTATGTGTGTATGGATATTAGTAAGTCACCTAACTGGTTTATACATTTCAGAAAACCAAACACTTAAACTGCAAGTTATTACAAAAATGCTTGGAATCTCCAACAAATTTAAAAAACAAAATGCATGAAAAGGCTAAAAGAAGAGCTTCTTTGTTATCTTGTTGGACTCTAGATAACCATCCCTCACCCTGAGATTCCCTTGGTGAACCTGGACCCTCATGGAGAAGTTATCCCTGCTCACTGCGTAGCCCGTTGGGTGCTAGTGGGCGTCCTAGAAACCAGTGACAGTACAAGACACTTTACAAGGCTCCTCTCTGTGTGGAGAACTGAAACTCAAACAAGACAATCCCAAGAGCAGCAATAGGGTCTATAATTAAGCATTGTTTCCTTATTTATTTAAAAAGAAAGCAAGTACAATGTCCAAGAAGGGATAGTTTAGGGAATTCTAGATATAGAACATCTACAGAAGGCTGTTACCATTACCTCATTTTGTAATCTGAGTTTGTGTGGGTGTGGACAGGAGGGAGTGGAGGGAAAGAACGCACGCGAGGGCTCAGGGAAGCACAGTGCTCCACAGGGCAGGCTGCCACAGCTTCACCCGTTCATAGTTCAGATCTTGGTGGATTTTTCTCACCTAGGGTTTTGTGGGAACCCCTATTGAATGGGAAACTCCTGAAGACAATAATAGGGTCCTCTGTACTGAGTCATGGCTTTTTAGGGTTGGGGGATCCTCAAAGCTCACCCGGCATCTTTCCTTATCTGAGGGAGACCAGCTGCAGACATCCAGGGCTGAACTGAGTTTCGCTGGGGACCTGGGCTCCTCTTTCCACCTCTCCTTAGGGACTCTCTTCTGCGCACTCCCCTTCCCTCTCCCTCCCCCTGGCTGTCTCTGCCTGTTCTTCCAGGAACTCTTTCCCCCACTGCGCCTTGACTGAGTCCCTGATTGTCCGTGTTCTCCCAGATTCTCTCACAACTCTTCTTTTCCTGTCTCCTCTGTCACTCTTCAGGCCCACCAAACTGTTTTTTGCCACCTCTTTTTTCTTTTCTTTTCTCTCAACTTTAACCGACGACATATAGAGAAAGAGCGTGTCCTAACTGTAAACACAGGAGAGTTAACTATTGCACCGTTTCTATTTGCCCACAGTTTTCTGTGAGCCATGACTGGCTAGTCTTTCCTGTTTAATGTCTCTCTCTCCAAAGATCCTTAATTTTCCTCTAAAGGTCTTGCAGGGTGGTTAATCAACGTGAGAGTTATTGGCCCTAAACACGTGAGTCTACTTTTTAGGCCAACCCAAGTGGCCCTGATCTTATGAATATGGGTGTGCTTTTAAACTTACTTTCCAATAGAAAAAAAAAAAGCAAAATGGAGTGCAAATGAGAACTGAGAGCAAGAATGAGCAGGAACCGTCTAGAGACGTGAATCTGATGATCTAATGGAGGAGGGAAGAGTGACTTACCCGAGGCAAAGCCCAGGATGACCACAGCCATCAGCCAGCAGAAACGCATCAGGTCTCCAAAAATCATCTGCAGGAAACAGAAAAGGTGAGGCAGGTTGGGAAGATCCCTTCTCCACTGTCTCTGAGCAGCTGTTGCTAACAGATCAGAAGGTCCCCATAGTCCCTCTCTGTATCTGCCCCCATCCCTCTGTTGGGGAAGGGCCCAGCAATGGGAAGACACTGACCTTCTGGATCATGATGGTAAAGGGGCCCAGCATCTGGAATCCTCGGGCAAAGTACATGACATTGCACCAGCCCAGCACCAGGGCCAGGGACATGGGCACCACCTCTCCGTCGGTGTTGGTGAGCCGCATCACCATGGTCACCAGCACCATGAAGGCATAGGTGATGCTTGGGGGAGAGTAGGGAACGAGGCAGTGAGAGAGGGGCTGGGAGTATTCTAGGTCCCCCATAGCACAGCGTTGACTTGGGTGGTACCCACACACACAGGCTTTACACATAAAACACACATGCAGTCACATGTACAAGCCTGCTAGAGAGAAACCCCTGGAGTGACAGTCACCTGAGGTTTAGATCCCAGAGAGTGAGCAAGAGACCTGGAGCTGATCTGGTGAGAAAAGGTAGGGGCTGGAATGAGGGGACACTCACATGATGACATGGAAAGGCCCCCCGAGAATCGTCTGTCCAAAATAGCGAGAGGCACCGACCCTGAAGATGTCTGGGATCTGAGGAGAGGCCGGTAAAATGAAAAGACGATGTAGACTGCAGTTCAGTCTGGGCCTCAGGTGGGTGGCCTTGGCCTGGGTCCCACCTGCACCTCACCTCTAGGAGCAGGATGATCACAGCCCCAAGGACGCTCACCAGCTCCCCCACCAGCCGGATTATATCCTCATGCGTCACGTAGGCCTCCTATGGGAGGAAATTCAGAATAAGAAGTGCTTTCTGATGGGTACGGAGTCACATCCTTTTGGGCAAGTGGTCTAAAGCTGCCAAGGTTTATCCAAGGTAAAGAAAAACTCCCCTTACCACCAGCATCTCCCCCATGCCCACTGTATTTGCCACTGTGGCTAACTCTGTGACCAGGACATGAGTGTATACATCCGAGGTTTAATATATCTTGCATATGCTAATGACTTGAGCTACCATCCAGCAAAGTCACCTTTTCTATATACGCTGTAAGCAGTCATTTATGATGCATTCACTAAGCAGCCGAGAACACATTTCGGAGCACCGAGTTAAGAAGGCTGAACCAACAGGAAAAGATATTAGTGGCTTGGGACGGTTTCAGCTATGCAGAAAGTCCGGCTTTTCCAATCTCATCCTGGCTCCCAAAAGGGTGAATACACTGTAAACATATCACAGAATTCAGGGTCCGGCATGGGCAGCCCAGAACGTAGTACCTCCAATGAGAACTTGAACCAGTCATTGAATACCTCTGAACTTGAGGTTTCTTATCTGTGAAATGGAGACGACAATGCTCACCTCCCGCAGTTACTGTGACAATAAAATTAATGATGCATTTGGACGGACTTTATAAACCATAGAGCACTATAGATATATTTCCTGGTGTTTTGTTATGCTTTGGCAATATAGAAAAGGACAGAAAAGGGGCTAGAAACGCTGTATGGATTTTAGCTTTGAGGAAGGGTCCCTGCCTGTCCTGAGCGGTACGTGCAGAAGGTATGGTCCTAGTGTCAAGGTGGGACGAAGACCATCCTACTTCATTGCATGTTACTTCTCAGTAAGACTCTGCAACATTACACAGAGATAATGACAGAATTCTACATTAACGATCCTTAACTTTCTTGAAGTTATGAGCCCCCTTAAGAATATAATAAAGACTATGAACCCTCTTTCTGGAAAATTGTGTTCATACATAGACAATTTCCACATGAAATTAGACAATTTCCACATGAAATTGAGCAAACAATTTCAACACATTCAAGTAGCCTTTAGGCTTTGGGGAACTCTGTTTTCCAAGGTCACATCTCCAAATACCACACGCAAGAAAGGAGTTGAGAGTCCCTGGGGCCAGCAGCAAAGCTGACGATTTGAACTAGGGAGAATGTGAGCTCTAGCCGGGCGTGAGGAACGGCAATCACCCCTGCTCTGCTAATAAGCCAGAAGCGGACAGCGTCCTCCACGGGCTACTGCGGCAGTGCGCTCACCGGTGCAGTGAGAGGCAGAGCTTTTAAAGTAGGAAGAGATCCTGTGTGGCGGGAGGTGGTCTACGGTGTGAGAAGGCCCTCATCATGAGCCCCAGGCCTGCCAGTGGGACTCAGCTCAGAAGCCAAGGATATGACCTGAACAGAAGAGTATGACCAGGTGTGCCAACAGGTGGTGACAATGTTTCAGGTAAAAGTGTACGGTACTAAGAGAGGCCAGGAAAGGAGCTGCTGTCTATGAGCCTGGAGAATTCTGTGATCTAACAACATATGACCAGACATCAGTCACCAATTTTTTTTTTTTT